CCCCCCCGACCCGCTGCTGCCGCGGCACTTCGCGCAAATCGATTTCCTTCTATGCCCGCTTTCTCTTCTGCAGAGAGCGGTGGGCGCGGGGGGCCGCAGAGATGCAGCTCTATCGTCGCGCCATTTTCTGGTCCTTTGCAAGCTTAGGATTTCCATGGCAGCGAAGCGCGAGACCAGGGGGCCGCGTCTAGACGCAACAGCCCTGGCCGACGTCGCCGCGGCCCAGAACTTCCACGCCAGCTTCGCGGAGCACATGTCGGGAAACGGCGCGCCGCGAGATTCCCTGAACCAGCCCGACAACGACATCGCAGAGGCTTTCCGGCACGCTGCCGCGGGCTGTCCGCCTGCGCCCCCGGCCGCGCGGCGGCGACCCTGGATCAGTGACAAGACGTTGCAGCTCATCTCGCCCCGCGGCGAGTCGAGGGCCAGCCGGGATTTCGCGCGCGAGAAGGTAGCGAGTGGACGGATCATGGCGTTTGCCAAAGCAGACCGAACAGTCTGGCTCGACGGTCGACTGGCCGACGGCGACTGGGACGAGGTGAGAAATCTGAGGAAAGATATCGCCGCCGCCCAGGGGAGAATGAAGTGCCAAGGACCAGCTCGTGGACAGCGACCAGAGAGCTGAGACTTTGGCGGAGAATTTCGCCAAGGTGCAGTGGGCGGTGCGCCCGACAACGGTTGCGGAGAACCTCGACAACTTGGGCCCCGCGCTCGAGATCCCCACCGACCCCGTCGCCCAGTCGGAAGTGTGCCGGGCGGCCCGCGGACTAAAGCACAACCGCGCCGCTGGTGAAGATGCATCCTGGCCGAGCTTTGGAAAGCAGTATGCCGGGAAGGCACGCCTGAGTGCGAGTGGGCGACCTTGTTGCGCGCCCGATGCTGGGAGGAGAAGTCGGCGCCGGACGCGCGGCGCCAGGCCGTCGCGGCAGCAAGGGGGGGCCCATCGCAATTCGCAAGCTACCGGCCTATTTGCTTGCTGCCAATTGGCTACAAGCTTTGCGCATCGGTTTTGCTCAACAGGCTAAGGCGTGCTGGAGCGGGGTCTCGGATCTGGAACACCCTTTTTGGATTTCGGCCAGGCTGCGGGACAACCGAGGCCCTGTTCATTGCGGGGGGACTGATTGAAGACGTCTGGGAAACGAAATCGAGCAAGCTCGTTTTCCTGGCCTTGGACTGAGCGAAGGCCTTCGACGGCGTCTCGCCGGACGCCCTGGTGCGAGCGCTTGCGCGGTTCGGCGCGTCCAGCTTCTTTGCCGAGGTCGCGCAGTCGATCTACGCGGATCGCTCCTTCAGGGTCCGCGACGTCGGAACAATCTCCGCAGGAATTTGGGATATTTCACGGATGCCCGGTCGTCATGACCGCGTTGATGCGCGACGCAAGGGCCGCCTTCCAGCGCTGGGGCGCTTCCGGGCGACAGACGGCTTCCCGGTCGGGGAGCTCATCTACGTGGACGACGCTCTGCTGGTCGGCTCGACCGCCGATTTTGTCGGCGCTCTGACGCTGGCAATCCAAGAGGCAGGCAATACTTGCGGACTGTCTTTCAATTGGGGCAAGTTGGAAGCCTTGCCCGCGCGCTGCGACGCTGACAGTCGCAGGCCCGACGGACCGCAGATCCCGCAGAAGGACAGCATGGCGCACCTCGGAGGCCTCTTGGATTCTTCTCCGAAATGAGCAGAAGAATTGTCGTGGCGTGCAGAGATTTTTACACGCTCTGCAGCATCTGGAAGCACGCGCGATTGCCTCTGCATACAGAAGAAGTCTGCGTAGTAGCCTCTGAAAGCAGGTTGCTATTTTCGAAGCTTGCGTAGTAGCTAATCATGTACGCATTGCCTCCACACGCTGTGGCTTAACGTTTCTGAGAGCAACAAGCTAGACGTATTTCAAGCGCGGTGTCTGCGCAGGGTGGCTGGGATCGGCCACTCATATTACAGCCACGTCTCCAACGAGACCGTGTTGCAGACATGCAATTGCCGTTAACTCAACACCGCGCTTGCGTACAGGCAAGTGTGCTTGCTGGGGCGGATCGCTGTTCTTCCGAACGACAGCTCCGTTCGGCTCTGCGCGTTCCAATCACATTCCTTCGCTTTGTCAGGAGGGCACGGCCCCCGCAAGAGGGGGGGGCCCAGAAACACGCGGAAGCGGAAAGTCCACGATCTGGCCGTCAGGGTAGCCGGAGATACGAATGCTCTACGCGGATGTGGCAAGGCCCACCAGGCACGTGGCAGGCAGTTGCCAGCCGTTTCTTCTTGACATAATCTTTGCCTCTCCCCCGCCTCCCCTCCCTTGCACCGTGTTTTACGGCCACTCACCCGGCATGGGGTTCTCATATGTAAATTTTGTCATGTGCCACAGGGGTAAGTAAGACACCAAAGCCTGAATGCCGCCCTCCCCCCCCGGGTGGTGTCGTCCTCCCCCTCTCTTCCGCTCCACCCTGCGTCGTTCCTCTGCCTGCTTTGCCTCCCGCTCGTCCCTCGGATTGTCGCCCGGGTCTCGCACTCCTCCCTCCTTCTCGCTTCTCAGAATTTAGAAGGTCCCTGAGGCTTTTTAAGAAGCCATCTTCGAGGCCGCCGGGCTCTTGTGAGAAGCCCACCCCCTTCTTAGAAGCCCTTCGGCCTTCTTAGAATGCCGCCCCCCTGGCGTTACCCCTTAGCGCGCGCCGCCCTCCGCCGACTCCCCCTGACGGCCCAAAGGGATAACCAGGAGGGCGTCAAGGGGACCCCAAGATAGGTGAACGTAAAATGACGTAAACATAGAAACTCTGGTGTCCGTGCGGCTTCCTCCGATCGACGCTGGAGCCCCCCTGGCGGCGCCTCCAGCGCCGCCCCTGGCGCGCTCCGCGCGCCAGGGAGGGGGTCGAGCGCCGATCCGAAAAATCCGCACGGACCCATAAGTTTTATGTGCATGTCTTCGTTTGCCCCCCTCGGATAACCAGTGGGTGCCGAACGGATCCCAAGAGGCCCCCGAGAGGACGCGCACACGCACGCACTTTTTGCGTCGGCGGCTGGGCTGAGGGACTGTTCCGGCGATGTGGCATTAGTGGGACACACAAAACGCGAATTAAGCCGCAGTGCGCGGGAGGGAGAGACAGGAAACCCGGCGCGGGCGGGAGGGAGAGGAAATTGGGCCCGCTCAGAGCAGGACCTAGCGGTGGCGGGGCAGGCGCCGCGGTGGGGAGGCAGCGGCAGCGGAGAGGCAGCAGCTGGATGTAGGCAGCCAGAAGGCAGCCAGGCACGGTCCAGGGGGGGCAAGCAGGTCCAGCTCGAGCTGGAGGTGGAGGCAGCGCAGTATGGCGGCCGTGGTGTCGAGATCCGAGTGACCTCAAGGCAACCGAGAGCGGCAGCCGGAGCGGACCACCTCAGGTGAGGGGTCAGGGGCACTGGGGAAGTAGTCCCAGCAGAGCGGATCGGGGGAGGCGAGGACCGTCTAAGGTGCCGAGGTCCGGATGACCTGCGGGGCGACCTGGGGGGGGGGACCGCCCACCGCACACCCCAAGGCGGGGGGGCCGGACGGCGCGAGAAAACGCGCGAGCAGCCGAGACGGAGCCGCCGACCGACAACGCCGGAGGAGCGAACCCGCGGACACACACACACACACTCACACGCACACACACACACACACACACGCACACACACGCACACACACACACACACTCGCACACACACACTCACACTCACACTCGCACACATACACACACGCGCGCGCACGCACGCACGCACGCACGCACGCACGCACGCACACACACACACACACGCACACACACACATACACGTATGTTTCGTTCGGGTGGCCGAGTGACGTCACCACACCGAGCGTTGGAATGAGCTGCACATTGGCCGAGCTCCTCACGGCGCAACGAGTGGGTGGTTGCGCTGATGCGAGCAGGCGCAAGGAAAAATAGCTGGGGGCGGGAGGGCGGGCGAGTCACCCGTGCAGCGCGGAAACAAACCACACATAACTAACCTCATGAAGTATTTAAGAATCCCCCCCCCCTTCCGGCTGAAGGATAACACTTCCGCACCAGGAAGCGTTGCCCCCGCGCCAGAAGAACGACGTGGCCATCGCCTCAGCCCCGCGCGCATTCCCTTGAAAACGTTGCAAAGGCTTCACGGATGGAAGGCGGCTCACTGTTTTCACTTTAGCGCTGCGCACATTCGTTTCAAAAATTTGCAAAAAGTTTCACGGATGGAGGGTGGCTCGTTACTCTCGCCCAAGCGCCGCGCACATTCGTTGTATAAATGTTGCAGAAGCTTCACGGATGAAGGGCGGCTCGTTTTCAAAATGTGGTTCTCGCCTCCGCGTTGCGCGCGTTCGTTCGGAAAATTTGCAAGAGCTTCATAGATGGAAGGCGGCTCGTTTTCAAAATGTGGCTCTCGCTTGAACGCCGCGCACATTCGTTTCAAAAGCTTGCAAGAGCTTCGCAGATGGAGGGCGACTCGTTTTCAAAATGCTGGTTTCGCCTCAGCGCCGCGCGCTTTCGTTGTAAGCGCGCTGCAAGAATTTCGCGGGTTGAGGGCGGCTCGTTTGCAAAAGGTTGTTCTCGCCCAGCGCCGCGCGCACTCGATTTTAAAATTCGAAGGAGCTTCGCGGATTGAAGGCGGCTCGTTTTCAAACGGTTGTTCTCGCTTCAGCGCCGCGCGCATTCGTTTTGAGAGCGCTGCAAGAGCTTCACGGATGGAGGGCGGTTCGTTTTCGACATGTGGTTCTCGCTTAAACGCCGCGCACATTCGTGCCACAAACTTGCAAGAGCTTCGCGGATGGAGGGCGGCACGTTTTCAAAATGTTGTTCTCGCCGTAGCGTTGCGCACATTCGTTGCAGACATTTGCAAGAGCACTTTAGAAGGGTCCTCAACGGCCCCTAGTCTGCCACCGCGGGCCCGTGAGGCTCACGAGTGGTGCACGCCTTTGCACCCCACGTTGACTGCCCCCCCCCCACGTGAACGAAGACCCGAAGCGAGGAGGCGATGCGGCGAGTGTTGTGGAGATTCCCCCGCCTGCCGAGGACGCACAGCTGTCGAATGTCAACCTTGGCTGTTCCGAAGTACTACTTCCGACTGAGCCTGATCAGCACAAGGTCGCGAGCCCGACGCGATGCTTAAGTGGTGTGCGCAGTGTTGCTGCTGATTCCACTGCGGACGAGTTTTGGCAGGGCGTCGTGCCTCAAAGCGCCAGTGACCTCGCCAAGGCGAAGGAGAAACGCCCGAAGAGCACATACCACCTGGCCGCAAAGAAGCTGAAGTCGGGCCAGTTTGTGGAGAGTGAAGCTTCCGACGACGAGGTGGATACGCCGAAGACTTGCGCGAGCAAGCATTTTTCTAGGTTCGCGGAATCAAACGTTCAGTCGCAATTCGGCGCAGGGTCTGGAGCGGCTGAGTTCGGCACAGAGTCTGAAGCTTGTGCCGAGGTACCAGTTCTCGTTAGTGGGCAAAGGAGTGGTCGGCACTTCTTTGGCCGCATAAGCGCGGATGTGTGTAATGCCACGGAGCCCGAGCGCAATGACCTCTTGGGATATGTCGTGCATTCCAGGTGGTTCGAATTCTGGGTACGGGTCATCGTTTTTTCAGACTGTGCGTACATGGCAATTTCGGCTGACAGCTTGGTGGCAAACGACGGAATCCATGGCGAAGCGTTCTGGATGGGTGATTTGGTTTTCTTGTGTTTTTACCTTGTGGAGGTGGTCCTGAAACTTCTGCACCATCGCTTGTTTTTCTTCCTGAACGACCAGAGAAAAATGAACATCCTGGATTTATCTCTTGTAGTAATTGGGTCGATCGATCTGCTTAACTCGTCAGAGACATCATCAAGTGTAGTGCGAACATTCCGGGTACTCAAAATAGTAAGGGGGCTACGCGTACTCAAGGTCCTGACGGGCATGGATCGGTTGCGAGGCTTTGTTCAATGTTTGGAGGGCTCGTTCGAAATGTTGTTTTGGTGCATTGTAATGCTCACGATCGTCTTCTATATGTTCTCATTGATTTTCCTGCATTTGGTCGCGATTCATCTTGCGGAGTCTGGCTTTCCCCCGGACTCCGACGAGAAGTCTGAGATCTTGCGCCATTTTGGTTCTGCGATTGGATGCATGCTGACTCTCTGGCAAGCCGTCTCGGGGGGGGATGATTGGTCCAATCCTTACAACGCCATCTCGCTGACCGGGGACGCAGGTGCACTTATTTTCGTAGCCTTCATTGTCTTCACATCAATTGCCTTGTTGAACATTATCCAGCCGCCTGCGGCACACCCCGCCACAGTGGTTAGCGCAGCAGCACAGCAATAAATAGGTAGAGTTGAAGATCCGTTCCAGGTCAGTGCACTGTTTGAACTGACGGAGGTCTTGAACATCCCTCCTTGTCTTCAGCCTCGCTATCATATTCCTTATCTCTCTCTCTCTCTCCCCTCCTTCTCCCTCTCCCCGCATCCCTCGTACAACTCCAAGGCATATAGGAGGCCTCCTAGCGCCCTCTCGGGGGCCTCTTGAGGGCCTGTCGTGAGTCACTTGATGGCCTGTTGAGGGTCTTGGGGCGCCGTCTTAGGCGCGATGAGTCCATAGAGTAAAGCGCTCGGCTGAAGCATCAGGGGGATGCCTGGGCGGGGCCAGAGCCGTCTTGGGGTCGTGTTGGGGGTTCTCGGGCAGTCTTGGGGCGCTCTTGGGGCCGTCGTGGGGCGTCTCGAGGATCTTCCGGAAGCGGTCTTGAGCCAGAATCTACAGGAAGCAACAAGCAGTGTTAGGTTGTTGTTTCAATAGTTGTCACCTCCCAGGGCTTCGCTGGCGTTTCTTCGGGCGTCTCTTGGAGGCCGCTCGTCTTTGGTTGTCTTGGAGCCGTCTGGAGGCCGAAGAGGGCGTGGACGGTTTTGTGATTCGGTTTGCTCGAGTAGGGAGGAAGATTCTAAAGTGAGCTGGGGGACACAGGGAGCGGAAGCGAGCGTGTACCCGCGGCCGCGTCGGCTCAAGCGGCCAGCCGCCCAAATATGACTGCGTCTCACTGCGAGACACACGATTGCTATCGAGACCAAAAGGATCGTCCTATTGCTTAAGATGGCACATCCTCTCCTACTGGGAATATCGTTACTACCGTACAACGGAGCTGGAACTTGGCTTCGCCTAAAGCGAAGCTACTGGTTGGGCCTCCCACCCCCCCTCAAACTTGGTAGCGGAGCTGGCCTCTGGTGGTCAGCTGGTGGACTACATACATGGTGGAACATCAGGGTGCAGTGGGTTTGCGCGGAGGAATGCGTATAACTACGCATCATCGCAAGGACAGTTGCAGCGATACCTCTGCTTACGCGGAGGTCTCTTACTTACGTCCTACATCCCTGCGCTACTACACCCCTGAAGTCCACCCACCTACTCCAATGTGAAACTTCGTCGAAGACATAATGCATGGAAACATGTGATACGATAAGGTGCCGCCTCCACCCCCACGCAGACTTACGACTACACGACGGAAGCACCAACCGACTACATCCGACTACGACCTACGGGGCCGGTGGATTGGTGTTAACATCTTGGGGTCACATGGGTTGCTATCGAGTGTGCGGTGGGACATATGCGTGGCGGAGACGACACAAGAACGACCGGCCCTCACTGGGACCCAGCCGGTCAAGTACCTTTTCGCGAATTCGTCCGCGAGGTACATGTTTGGATCAACGTGACCACATGCAACATGACGCCTTTCCAGCAAGGCGCAGCCCTGCAGCGGGGTTTGGGAGGCCTCGCACGGACCATAGCCATGAGAGTCCCCCCCAGCAGTTATCAACTTTGGCGTTAACGTAGGTGGACGCCATACCGACGGCGCCACCGACATCATGTTCCTCTTCAGCACGAATTTCGACAATTTGGAAGAGGAGCGCCAACTCAACTCTGGTACATTGACTTCCGAGTCCATGCGGGAGAACGAATCGACCAGACGTTAGCACGCTTCGAGATAGCCCGCTATGACGCTGAAACGGCAGGTTTAAACATCCCCAACTTCCAAATCTTAACAGTTATGTTTTATAATTATTTAAAGGATAGCTCTGGGCTTGTCCTCTAAGGAGTACGATCCTTTACAACAACATGACACTTCATAAGGATACTACTGGAACATCACAAAACAGCAACAACACATACTTCACATAATCTTGAAAACAGTGTTCTCAACATTCCAATCAAGAAGTTGTTATTAATTATTCGTACAATAGTGTTGTTTATATATGCGTTGATATGTTCATTATGATTCATAATGTTTAACATATTTATTCGAAACATTTGCATTATTGTTTATTATATTGTTCGTTGTTGTTGATATTCTTTTAAAGTGTTGCACTGTTTGGATGCATTGTTTGGATGTAGCGACATTGTATAGTGTCCATACTGTTACTGCTGCTATTCTGATATCGTGAATGTGTCTGTGTGTGTGTGTGTGTAAGGCCATGCGGCTCCACATGCTCTAGGCTATGGTGTACAAACGTAGCGTGCGCACTCTAGGCCATGGTGTGCACAACCTGGTGGAGAGGGGAATGCGGGGCGCCGCCGCTTCGGCCCCGACCCGCGCCCACGCGGGCCCGCCTCGCGCGCCGCAGAAGCGCCAGCGAGGCCGAACGAGGACCAGAGAGACCGGAGGGGTCGCGAGGGAGGGCGAGACAGACGGGGAACGGGGAGGTGCGAGGGCGGGCGGGGGCAAGGGCAGGAGAGGGAGGGCAACCTTGGCGAGGGGGAAAAGCGGCGGGCGGTTTTTTTGACGTTGCATTGTCTTGGTTGGCGCACTGTGATCCGCACTCACGCTTGCACTCCTTCAGAGCGAGCACCGAACTCCGAATTCGGCCCCGCTCCCCTGAGGCCCCCCTTGAGGCCCCCCCCCGCCCCCTGAGGGGGACCCCCCTAGAGGCCCCCCGTGAAGGCCCCCCTTGAGGCCCCCCCTTCCGATTCCCAGTCATCGCGCTGCCCCCCCCATCAGGGCGTCTCGAAGAAGGGGAACTGGGCGTCAAAAAGCGCCGGGCTAGTCCGCCGCCGCCCTCGAAGCGGAGGGGTGCCCATCAGTGGAGTGGGCGTAGTGGGGGGATAAGGGCGACGGGAGATGAGTAGGGGGCTGGGAAAGAAGGAGCAGGAAGAGGAGAAGGAGGAGGAGGAGGAGGAGGACGAGGATAATATGATAATCACAATGAGGAGGGGCGGAGAAGGATGAGGAGGAGGAGGAGGAAGAGGAAAAGGAGGAGGAGGGGAGGAGAGGAGGGCGAGGAGGCAGAGGACGAGGAGGAGGGGGAGGAAATGCGGAGGATAATGACGAGGAGGGGGGGATGAGAGGAGGAGGAGGAGGAGGAGGAGGAGAGGAGGAGGAGGAGGAGCAGGAGTAAGAGCGGAAGGAGGAGTAGAGAGTAGGAGTAGGAGGGGGAGCGTGAGTAACAGATGGAGGAGGAGGAAGAAGAAGGAGGAGCAGGAAGAGGAGGGAGAGGGGGACGAGGAGGAGGGGGAGGATGAGGAGAAAGAGGAGGTGGGGGGCGGAGGAAGAGGAGGGCGAGGGGAGGAGGAGGAGGAGGAGGAGGAGGAGGAGTGCAAGGGCGAGGTGGACGGGGGGAAAAGAGGGGAGACGAGTCCTCGATCGGCGTCGCCGCCGCGCCCCGCGCGGCATGGTCGCCGGCGTGGCAGGACCCGGAGGGGTGGGTGGGAGGTAGGAGGTAGGAGGCAAGTGGCGGCAGGGTTCTAAGGCAGCGGGTAAGAGGTAGGAGGCAATATTTGATTGGAGAAGCTTGGCAACATGAGATATCACATCAATGATGTACAGAGATACGGTGAGTAGGACGATATGACACCTGGGCAGATCTGAGAGCGCCGTGCACAAATATCAGGAATGAAGTGGCATGCGTCCGAGCTGATTGGAGAAACCTGGCACGACGAGATAGCACAGGATAGAACTATGAACGGAAAAGGGAAGGGGGGGGGGGAGAAAAGAGGGGGGGGGTGAGGGAGGAGGCCGAGGAAAAGGAAGAGGAGCTGGGGGATGTGGAAGACGAGGGGCATACGGGGAT